AAGTAAAAGAATAAAGTCTCGTATGTTGTAAGCCAATGAAGATAAATCTCTATTATTCATAAAAGAACTGAATCAACTGTTAAACTTGGGAGTTGGTCATTCTATCTCTCTATTCAGAGATTGCCATCAACTCAATGCTATGACTCTTTTAAAGATCACATAGACTTTGTCACAGAATTAGTCCATGATTCCATTTCTTATCCAAAAAAGTAGCATACCAAGGATAGAGCTATTGGAGTAGACATCCTTAAGCATAGATAACAAATAGTGCACTTCTATATGATTTTTTAAAGGGCAAAAGTCAAAGTGTTGTTTTATTATTCCCATGCATCATCAATTTAAAACACTGTGTGGAGGACCAGCAGGTGGCTTGGTGGTTAAGGTGCTGGACTGCCACATGATAGACCACAGTTCAAGTCCTGGACTCAGTGGCTTAAAAATCATGTAAGATGCATGTGTGTGTATGCTTAAAACCCTGAGAAGAGAATGGAGGAGAAGAGATTGCAGTGAGATCATCCCCCTGGAGAATGATTTCTCATTTTCTCTCTCTCTGTCTCTCTCCAGTGAGTGCATGTGTCCAATGGCAATAACCTTAAAAAATAAATAAAACACTATGTGATAAAATACTCCTTCCTGAAAAAAAATCTTTAGTTGGTCAAAGTTGAAAACAATTGTTGTGGTTACTACTTAATTTTAATAATATATGTGAAGTTCCAAAATAGTATCTTTTATTTTTTATTCTTTAATTAACATTGATTCAGAGAACTCATTACACAGTTTGCATCCAATACACACAAACTTAACTATATGTATTTGTTCAGGTTCTTCCACTTTGTGAAGTTTCAGAATTATTCAAGCTAGCTTTGGGCATTTTGTCACTGCGATCTTTCTAGTTCTATACATCCCAACATTTAAATGATAAACTAAAAGTAAAGAATGCTAGCACAGTGATTTTTAAAGACTAAGAAATAGAACATGCAATGCTTTAATTATGTCATTCGATGTGAGCAACTAGAGTTTATTTGTGCTGAAAATCTAAAACAAAAATCATGCAAACTGCAAGGTGTAATATTTTTGTTTAGTGAATGTACATTTTAATTTATACATAAGTTTCTGAATTCAAATAACTTTTTAAATTCAAATTACTTTAAAATCAAATTTTATTGTTCTTTTTCATTGTTAATTGTTTGAAAATCAAAGAATGAATCAAGAAAGTAATGAACAGCGCTGATTATTACTCTAAATAATTTTGTCATATATATAGGAGAAGGTATTAACAATGATCAATACTTGAGGTCCAGCAGATGGTGTAATTGTTACAGTGCTGGACTCCCACATAGTTGACAGTGGTTTGAGTCCCACACCCAGCAGCTTAAACTCACAACGAGTGTGTGTGCATGTGTGCCCAAAATTCTGATCTGATAAGAGAATGGAAGAGAAGGGATTGTGGTGTGGCCAATCCCCGGGGGGAGAGGAGGTAATTTCTCACTTTCTGTCTCTCTGTCTCTCTGGAAAGCACACACCCCCTATAGCAAAAAACAAAAAAAAAAAAAAAAAAAGATCCAGTTCAAATATCATATATGCTAGGTATACCACATCTCCAAGTTATTGATATTACTTAATATTCTCCAGAAACTCAGAAATTAGGAAATTGCTAATTGATTAGCAATTCACATTGACCCAAACCTCAGTTAGCCCCACCAGTGGCAAGGAATTCAAAGTAGATCATTTAATCATGCGTATAACTACTTTGTGTTCTTTCTAGCTCCACTCTCAGCTAGATAGGTGATCAGAAAGAAGACATCTATAAATAATGCTGAGTACAGACCTTTCATATAGATTATCTCCACAATTACCACCCTGATCCAAGCCTTCATCACCTCTAATCTGGGCTATTGTAAAAGCTCCTCACAGCTCTAGTCCTTACGCCACTAAAATCTATTCTGTTAAAATTTAAGACAGACCATGCCCCTCATCTGTTCAAAACCTTACACTGGCTTCCCATCTCACTCAGATTAAATGCCCTATAAAACTGGCCTCCTGTTTTCTCTCTTATTTCATTTGCTATTCTTCCATTTACTAATTCTTTATCCTCAGGACATTGGCCTCCTCTCTGTTTCTTAAACAAATAGTCGTGTTCTTTCTGAGTGTTCTTTATTCTTAAAACCCTTTTATGAACAAACACATGGAGCTTGTTCTTCTTTTCCTTCACATCTCTGCTCAAATATCCTTTAATCAGAGAGGTTTTGACTGATCTATTTATGTTATCATCTCACTCCCTATCTATGTTGTCTTGCCATATTTTAATTTTTTCTTAGTACCTCCTGACATTGAATATTCACTTATGTGATTTTTTAGTGAGCTCCTACCCCCAGATTATAAGTACCATAGAGTGAAGAATTAGTTTTTGTTTATTGTTGTTTCCCCTTTGTCTAGATCAGTGCCAACTCATAGTAGACACTCCATATTTTTGTTGAATAAATGAATGACCTTAATATTGCCTATAAAATAAGGCACAGGTACTTTGACCCATTTTATGAATGAAAATACTGAGGATGAAAGAGATTTGACAATTGATAAGTTTCAGAGCTGAGAAGTATAAAAGCCAGTCCCTCAACTTTGGACTTAAGACTGAGAACAGCATTCTTTCCACTTTAGCCTCACTACCTAACTCACTATTACCACTATTATACCAAATCGGCATCGCAGTCAGAAGATATGAGTAAATATACTGAACAATTTATCATTCAATGTGAACTCATAGTTTAACACCCTCTATCTACTAAGACATTTTTATTATGTAAATTCTCAGTGTTTCATGTTCAAGGACAATGATTTACATGGAACACCTGGAATAAGTTATAATAGTCAAATGTTCTAAAAATGAATCTATTGTTATAAAAATCTCAAGCTCTACTTCAGGCACTTTGCAAATGAAAGAATGAAGGTCAAAGACCTTTTGATTACTCACATTATAAAATGGTGGTTAGACATACACTGCCTATTTTTCACAATGAGCCACTAGTTAAATTTTATCCTATGTTTACTTCTGGAAATCTAAGAATTTCAATCCTGGAGGAAATTTTGGTGATCACTAATAGTCTTACGTAACAGATGAGAAATCTGTAGCTGAAAGCATTCCCATCAAACTGTTAGTGTCAAAGCCAAGGCTAGAGGTTTTCTGCCTCCCAGGCTAGAATAGAGTTTACTACTCCTGTCGTTTGAATTCTAGAAATGGCTAAATGCTTTCATCATATAATATACACTGCCTGAGTCCCCTAAAAACTGTATAATGAGATTGTCCCCATCAATCAATCTTTAATTACTTAGTCTTCACAAGATATTTACCGCTTTCTCACACATTATTGGAAATTATTCAGATTTCTTCATTAATTCAATCTGTTGGCAATGGATGGCTCTGAGCTCCTATATGACAATATGGAAAAGGAGGGAAGTCATCCAAACTTAGCTGCCAGAAATGCCAAGGCTGGCATGATTTGTTTGTTGTGTTTAAGAAAATGTGTATGACATTAGCTCATCCTGAAGAAAGTCCTTTCCCAAGATCATGACTCTGTTCCTTTCCACCACTCAGGACCATTTGAACACATAATTCTGTGAAACAGTGGCAAAGACAGTGACAGGGAGTCATGAAACTCAGGTGCTAGACTTTGCTTTGCCTTCAAGGAGTTTGTGACTCTAGGCAAGTCTCTCTCACTCTCTGAGTCTCAGATTTCCTGGCTGGATGACAAGGACTCTGAGGTCTTTACCTACTGTAACCTTTTCTGGTTCTAAAAATATGTGATATTGCCTTTATGGGACCCCAGGGAATGAGGGAGAGCTAGGAAAAAGTCTCTTGAAGCCCTGGCACATCGGCATATAAGAACCATTGAAACAGGGGTATAATGAAACTCCCTAGTCCACAACAGATTCCCCCTTCTCTTCCAGAATCAGGGGGAGGAAAGGATTTAAATATCAATATTTGTCCAACTGCTTCAGCTACTTTCCTTCAGCTGCAGTTTGTGAGTGACAGTGCAGAAGCATGCAGTAGCACTGCCATCAGTGCCTCCTGACCCAACGCAACTGTGCTCTAAGACCCTCTTGCAACATACTTCTTATCTAAATGTAAAGTCATGATGTCCTCCCACTCCTCACAGACCCTGACCAGGCTTAAACTACCTCAGTCTAAATCAGAGAAGCATCAACATGCAGCCATCACCTCCTCTCTGCAAAGGGAAGTCATTCCAAGGTCTCCAGGTGGAGAAAGGAACACCACCGCATAAAATGAACTGTTGGACGATGGTACTGAACAGACACACAAGCACACACTAGTTACCACTCCTGGGGTGGGGGAGTGGGAAGCTCTCCTAACTCAATGTGGCCCAGACTCATTTCTAGGATAAGGGTTTCTGCAGCTGTCTCTCCTTGATAAAGCCCTGAGTGTGAATAGATAGGGTGACCCTAGCCCAGGCAAAGAATGGCTGCAGGGCTTCCCTCCCCCCCCCCACCAGGCGTCTTTCTCAAGAGTGGCTCTTGAGCTCTCCTGCCCCGAAGCCGTCCAGGGTCAGAGGGTACATGAAGCTTATTTGGCTTGGGGTGGGGGTGGGGACTGCTGGGGAGGAATATTGCAGCTCTCCCATAAAGCCTACCTTCACAATCCCAGGCTTTGAAGCCGCTCTCTTCCCCCACCCCAACTCCGTGCCAGCTCCCCTGCCTCCTGGGAGCTTTGATGCTTTCAGAATGCCCCCTTGCCCCCCCCTCATCCACCCCAATCTCAGAGGGCGGCATAAATGTGGAGGGGAACAGAAGGGGGCTTTCCTGGGCAGGCGGCGAGCAAGGGTTCCTAAAATGGCCACAGCCAGCTGACTGGTGTCTCAAGGACAGCAGGGAGGGCGGTGGACAGAGGCTAGGGAGCTCACTGCATCGTGGGTGGTTGGAGGGACTGGAGGTGGGGCAGGGGGACTGAGGCTCAAGCAGGGTAAAGCAGGGATACGCGCACTCACCATTCCAGATCCGCCCCTTATCCACTGCATGATGCCCGCGAAGTCTGGCTTCTCTGAGGCCCGGTAGCTGGCGCGGTTTGTCGCGGGCTGACTAGGAGGGCTGGGCTTGAGCAAGCGATATCCCCAGCGCCCCCTCCGCCTCCCCTCCTTCACGGCCCTTCAGCCCAATCCCTTGCGCCCTGGACCTCGCCTTCAGTCAGGTTGTTTCATGCCAGCCTGCAGGCACTGACTCTCCTTCCAGCTGCTTGCAGGGGGCTTTGCCGGGAGAGGTGCTCCAAGAGGGTCTCAATGGACTGCCTTTGTCCCTCACCAAGGCTTGAAAAATAGGGCTTCAGTTGCAGAGAGAATGAGGACGAATAATTTCCGCCTGGGAGAAGGCAGCTTCCACCTCTGCCTGCCTCCCGCTGTGCTGGAGTTAGCTGCTTATTGTGGGGCTTCTCAATTGTGTCGAGTCAGCAGAAAGTCCTCTCCAAAGTTGCCAGAGGTGTTGGGCCAACCTCCAGAATAGTAACATTCTGCCTCAGCAGAGTGGTGCCAGCACTTTCATGCCTCCTTATCCCCCACCATACTCACCTAAGGGTCTTCTCTCTTAGGATGTGTGTGTGTTCTCTTGAGGCTTTCCTCTGGACCACTTTTGCTTCTCAGAACATTCCTATGGAAGGAGGCATTACTATCTCTATTTCCAGAAAAATAGAGGTTTGGAAGAGGGGAGGTACCTGTCTAAGGTCACATAAAAAAAAAAATGACTCAAATTTGCCCTCTGTAGTTTTCTAAGCTTCTTTTGCATGCTCTCTCTCTGTCTCTGTCACCACATCCCTCAACACACACACACACACACAC